AACCATGATCATGAAAGCGTCAAAACATTTTTTTTTTCCTTTCTTTATACATAAACGTAGCTTTAGTCTTCTCAATAAATTAGTATAACTGGTACAAATTAAAAACATACAATTTCAAATCATACATTTAAAAAAGACAATGGGTTGGAGGCTATTTTTAGGGACGATTTTCAAGCAGACAATTAAATGTATCTGTAAATATATTCAGAGAAGAGTGCCTATCTAGAAACAATATCAAATGCGATACAGAAGGTCATCTAGGACCTATCTGTAGAAACGCATACATTGGAAAACAAATTTTCATTTTTGTCTCATTCTAATTTGTATAATTTTATTGGTTATTTCGCCATGCTACAACTTTGTCACAGTAAAAATAAAAAGGTCTTTTAACGGCGCAAATGAAATGGCAGAAAAATGATTTAACAGTACAAAATTTGTTAAAAGTGCGCTCTTGTTTAGAAATATGTTGTCTCCATTTTAAATGAGCCCGTCGTTAAGGCTTTTGAATGGATACTTTGGTTAATCATGGTGGGTGCGAACAATAATAAAATAAATTCTTTTTCATAACCTCAGTGGCTTTGAAAGTCAAATATACCACGTCCATTATTTTACTTGTTTCTTCATCATTGTAATTTATATTATTACTCAAACGATCATTTGACATAAAATTTTGACGATAAATGATACGATATACAGAATATATATTTTATCAGGTATTATATTTTTATATTGTAATTATTAGATCTAATTATCAGACGCACAGCAGTTTTTTTTAACAATGACATGTTCTGCACGAGTTTATAGGCAATATTTTTATATTTAGGCATACGTGTCATGGGTTTTTTATTCGGGAGATTTTTTATATACTTCCTATTTGTGTTTATTTTTAACGTATTGCATGACAATGTTAACCCCTTTGATACACGTTCATTCAGCAGCGTCAAAGCTGCATCACCTGAAGATTTTACATAGAATCTTTGAGTGGGCCTAATAAGGGACTGCATGTTTAGATAATTTATAAAAAAAAGGCACTTCATGCACTGGAGATGAAGGGAACAGGGTGAAAACCTCTCATGCACAGAAACTATCTTTCAAAAGCCTGTAATGTCAATGACTACAAATGGATTACAGGAAATGGATTCTTCCTGTCCTAGGATTCAGATAATTTTGTAGTTAAGAATGTCAGTTTATGAGTTGAACAGTTACCATTGTATGAATGGTCTAGTCATCATTACATGAATAGTCTAATGATCATTGTTTGAGTGGAACTGTTATTATAGGAGTCCTTCAGCTATCCAGAGGCAGGTGCACACAGGGCAGTTGCCCCGTGCCCCACATCAGAGGGCGGCCTCAATTTGTTTTAGGCTTATTTCTTTAATGAACTCTTTTTGAACGAAATATCAGTACAGTGTAAAATCCGTCAATTTTATGTTAGCTCCTTCATTCATCTATCGGATGAATACAAAAAATCTATATTTCCATGGCTTTCTAGGACGGAATTCGGCTAAATGTGTCGCCATTTCGATGGACACATTTGGCGAATGAAAAGCCTGCATTTTTACACATCGCAAAATGCGATGTGTTTACAAAAATACGGCCTTCTGATTGGCTCAAGTGAGCCATCGTCATTGCGAACATTTAGCTGAATTCCGCCTTAATGTCAGCAAGGATCTGAATATTTCGCTGCTAGATGACAAAGTGAACAATCAAGAAAACTGCATTCGGCATGATGGACATAGAATGGTCAGAAAATAAGTAAAAATGGACAGAACGATATTTCGTCAGACCAATGGAGGAAGAGGGACATTTATAGCTATTTTAGGTTCTAGTTCATTTTATGGTTACTTATGTATAATGAGGTGAAAAATTTAAATACTTCCATAAAGTTCAATTCTTCCTTACTGAAGAAGTGAAGCAGAGGGGGCCCCCCAAAGAAGTTTTTGCCCCGGGCCCCCATGAGGCTAAGTCCAGCTCTGCAACTATCATTACATAATTCGTCAAATTATTATGTGAGTCATCCAGTTATCATTATATGACTCTTGTTATAACAGTTATCACAGGAGTAGCTCTACTATCATTAAATGAATCTTCATAATATGAATGAGACAGATAGTGCCGCATGTGTGGAACAGTTAATTATATAAGTCATATAGATCACTATATGAATAGTCCAGTTAATTATTTTATTTTATTTATTTATTTTAAGTTTTTTAAATAGTTACTAGCCGTCTACAGTTTTCCACTTAACCTAAATAGAATTTTATAATTAACAAGAGCGAACGAATAATCTCTAAAATCTTATAAGCAAATTTTTTTTTTCCAACTTCCAGTTGGATAAATTTTATACAATGCATTTAAGCGAATACTTCACTGTATGCATTAATCATTCTTTCCTCCCCTGATACTACGTAATAAAAGGCACTTAACATTGTTCCTTCTTCCTTTCACGTCATTGAAACAAGGTGTACTTGTTCCAAGGCGAGAATTCCCACGGTTAATCAATTTCTTCCTTATTATTCTCTTATGAAATGACTTATTCATGAAATATTTAAGCATCATAAAAAATATTTCATATTATTTATCATAAGTTAATCTAAAGCAGTGATTCTCAACCACTGTGCTGTGGCACTTTTGTGTGCCGCCAAACTCTTAAAATGTGCCGCCATATATTAGAAATAGTACAATAAAAATTATAATGCTTTTTTTATTACAAGTAAAGTTTAAACTAAAAAAAAGTGTATAGATATATAATATTATATATATACTTTTTATAATTTTTTCACGCTTTAACCACGTGAACATCTCTTGTCTCTGACAATCTTAAAATAAGAAGGAAGTGTTTAAATTGTCTTTGACACACAATTTTAAAGAATGTTGAAATTAGTAGGAAATTTAATGACTATTAAAATTATTAATTAACAAGGCTAAAACAAGCTAAATACTAACTTACAAGCGAAAATAAAAGCTAATCATTAAAGTAAGCTATGAATTTAATAGTTGTAAAAACAAATTAACAATGGATAACTAGCAAGAAAAATAATAAGCTAACAATTAATAATTAGCAAAAAAGTTAGTTAACAAGAAATCACAAAAAATAACAATGTAATAAAAACAACATTTAATAACTATAGAAAACAGGCTAACAATTAATAATTAGCAAAAAAAACTGTTACTAACTAATAAAAAATTAGTCGAAAGAAATAATAATTCCCTTAATAAATGTGCCTTTGTAGTACATATTATTTTATTTCACATTCAAAATTATTATCACAAACTAATTAACACAGTGTATTATAGGTAAGTAAATAACTTTAAAATTTTTTTTTTTTTTCATTGTGTGCCGTCAAATTTCGAAATCGTTAAAAGTGTGACGCAACAAAAAAAAGGTTGAGAATCACTGATCTAAAGAATTACAGTCCCATATTATTAGATGCATCATAAGATTCCATGTAAAATCTTAATTATACTCTATACAGCATTATTGTTTTGACGCATTTGTTTACTCTCTCCTGCATCATTAACATTGTAGGTTAAAAATATATACAAATTAGGAAATATATAAGAAATCTCATGAATAAAAACCCATAACATAGTTGTTTAAGTATTTCCTATCAAGGCGGTGCAAATCATGTCATTATTAAAACGGTGCATCTAATCATTATAATATATAATGTTTGATATAATAAATAGTCTCATTTAATACACGAACTTGCAAACCGATTTCAGTCGCTTAAAAACAATAAAACTGTATAGAGTATCACCAAATGAATCTAATAATTCACCCTGGCCAAATTATTACATTCATTATAATTATAATACATCTAATAATTGGTCCTGTGCAAAAACTAATTTACCATTCATTTTTTTTTTCAGAAATAATTAGCATTTTGATTCAGGCTTGACTTTAAACAAATTAAGAATTTTAAATTTAATAATTAGAAATTAAAATAAATTATAGTAAAAAGTAGCGGGTGTAAAAAATCATCGATTGGTGAAATCGATTGAGATAATTATAATTATTTATTGATTGATTTTATGCGCTACATGATTGATACGCTACAATTATGCTCTACATAATTGATGCACTACATAAAGATAAATGCTACATAATGATATATAATTTTTCCTTTCATCCAAAAATGAGCATCACCAAAATGACATCTTTCCATATTCTTCTCATTTATTGCCCCCCGAACTTTTAGTTTGTGATCAATTATTTTAGCTACTAAATATTATAGATAGTGAAAACACAATCGCTCTGAATTATGGATGATATAAGTTTTATTGTTATTATTATTGCTGTTGTTTGTTTTAATAATAACGCAAAAACTTTAAATCAAACTTTTCAGAACTTTAAGAGTACAGCGTTTTACCAAAAGTAAAAGTACAATACAAAAATAATTTATGCGTCTTTATTGTCATAATTCTTTTAATTTTTTTATTTATATATTATTATTCTTTCTTTTTTTTTACAATTTTATAATTAAGTGCGAAATTTGTAATTAATATTCCTGTTAATAATTAAATGTCATAACATTTAAGAACTGTGTAAACGTTTAAATTTCAATGTTATCAAATAAAAAAAATCTTAAATAAACTTTTAAAAAATAAAAATTATTTTTCCCTTTTTTTTTCTTAGTTTACCTTTCTTGCAACAATATTATTTGTGTATTTAAATTTTTTCTGCTATTTTAAGCATACAGAAGTATTTTACAGACTTTCCTCATTACTTTAATTTTAAATTAAAAAGAACATTCTTGCTTATTTCGCCAAAATAAACAGACTCCGTTACAGATAAACAACAAACAACGTTAACAAGAAAGTGAGGATATAATCGGTACCAAACGTATAAAGTCGGCGAAAAAAGAAACTGTCGACCCTGAAACAGGTCAGTAGGTAAAAGATTGATAAAAAAAAAAACATGTAACTATAAAAGGTAAACTTAAAAAAGCTGCATAAAACAAGTCAGAGAATTTTTAAAAAAAAGCGGTTATAGTTACCGTCACAGGTTTTCCCTCAATTTTTTGAAGCAGTAATGTTCCAAGCAGGGCCGCTAAGATCAACCATGTCCCGGGGGTCAGCCCCGGTGCGTTAATCATCCTTCAGAGCCGCCCCAGTCAGGCTCCGATAGGGCCTACAGGGCGGCTACCATTTCCTTAATTGTAACCAGTTTCAAATGAATATAACTATCCAACACATGTCAGAGTATGAGAATGAACACGAATGAAAACAAACATAACTTCTACTTCGAACAGCAGTGTATCGTCTGCGACTGAGGGAGTTGCGTGAGTTGTAAATAGCGAGTTGGAAGAAAGACCGTTTTGGATTGGTTGGGGAATTTAGGGGGGAAGGCGGGCTGGGGGTTTCCTCATTACTCCTTTGTCTGTGTTTACAATTCCCCTCTCTTTCATTCCATTTCAGAAGTTCTGAATGAGGAAGGCGCGTTACCATAATTCATGGTGCGTTGAAAAATCACAGGTAGTATGCAAAAGAAATACAAAAATTTTGAATCTATATGTAGAATAATTACATTGGAAAAAAGCAGAAGCGTTACCATCATTGGTTTAATCTAGTTTCCTTACTTCAAAAACAAATTTTGTTTCAAAGAAAACAAATTATTTACATGGTCCACACAAGTTTTTATGAGCACTTATTTTTAAAAACTCTTTAAAAAAGTTAATTAAAAATAGATATCGAGAATACCATTAAAACTGCACAATTAAACAAAACGTCTTTTCTAAAATTGGATCGATTTTTTTTTTTTTTTTTTTTTTTTTTTTTTTTTTTTTTTTTTTTTGCCATTTTACTTTCCGGTCAACTTATCGATGGAACATCATTTAATGACTTAAAACTAATTTAAAAAAACTAAATATTGCAGCAACAAAACAAACAAAAAAAGCTGTATGATTCGGCAAAACTCTGTCATAATTGAAATTTTTCCATTACTTATTTTGCCATTTTGTTTTTCAATCATTTATTTATTCCTTTTTCTTTATGTAAACCTTCTACTGTTAATAATAAACGGTCAATCCTAATTAACAACAACATGAATAAAACAAGGAAAAATAATTATAACAAAATAGTTAAAAGAAAACAGCATACATATATTATTTTGATTAATTTACTTTTCTTTATTTTGTTTTCCGGATTTTTAATAATTTTGTTGTTAGATAAATGAAAAAAATATACATATCATTTTAAATACTTTTAAAAGATAATTTTAAGAATTTTTCTTCTCTTGTCATTATTTTCCATATTTTGTCAATATTTTAACTTATATATGAATAGTATATGTCCAAATTATTAGATGCACTTCTAAGATAATTACTAGGTAAATACTCATTATTGTTTTCACGCTACTGAAACCAGTTCGTGCATGAATGAGACGATATATCATATAAATTCAACGATTGGATACATGAGATGATATATCATTTAAATAGAGATTATATCAGGTACATGATAACAATGAGATCCAATGATTAGAAGCTTTTTTAATAATTGCATGTTTTGCACGTGTTTATAGGCAATACTCTTATATTTAAACATACGTGTAATGGGTTTATATACAGGATATTTTTTATACACTTCCTATTTATTTTGAAGATATTGCACTACAATGTTAACCAAGTGATACAAGTAAAAGTGCTCAGG